AACATACCAAGTTGGATACATCAAAAGACCTGGTCTTTGCCTGATCCTTCATAAGGTTGTGATTGCATTAAGTTTCTCAGGACAAAATAAAGCTGTTAGTAGCACAAAGAGCCATTTCACTTCCAGAGCCCATCCATACCATGATCAGCTAAATTTGGCTGAACTGAGTTGAGGCTATGAGGAGGACGGAAGAAGAGCAATCAGTGCAACCATACGTCAGATTTAAGACTGCTGGGACTTTGTCTTCATTTCAGCTCTCTCTTATCAGGATTTTCTCAATGTCTTCTTTTGTTTCAATTTAAGCTGTTCACCAGAACTCAGAGGCAAAGGATCATTGCTTTTTAATTTCATTGATTTCCAAATAAAGTACAATGCAGCAGTCACCTGTCATTTTTATTTCCTAAGAGTCTATGAGACTTAGAGGCAGACTTGGGACAAATATGCTAGGCAAAACTAAAAGCTGCTTTGCAACTTTAAAATTAAAATGTATAAAGTCAGGTAGCATTAAGGGCAGTTTCCATAAGCACACTGATGCCAATAGGCATCCTGTGAACTTGATTTTCCTTTGCAATAAACCTTGTCATTTTGAAGTGCTGTTGAAAGAAAAGTCTTCATCCTGGTTCATCCAAGCCGGGGATAAATAAACAGCATGGCGACTGCTTTAGAAAGAAGGTTGCAATTTATTGAAGAGGCAGAAATATGGTTCTTGCAGGAAAGACTAGAGAAAAAAAGGGCTGAGCACATGGGTAGTAGGTTTTTATACCCTCTCTAGCCTTTTGTTTGGAATAGTTTCCTGTTCCTGTGGCATGAACTTTGAGGCTATTTCCTGTGTCACATATTCTGACCTGAATTTAGGTGTGCCTCTCTGGTATTCTTGATGGTGATGGGTTAGTCCTATTATGTCCCATCTCAGGTGGGGTATGCAGATTTTAGGTGTCTTTGCCTTCTTGATCTCCTAGCTGGGGCCTTTCTGATGGTTTACATCTGCATTTGTATAGGGCTGGCTTCTGCTTGGGACAGAGAGATTTGGGGGCAGGGTTGGCTTCTGCTTTTAAAATCCATTTGAGGAAATATATTTTTCTTCCCTTTTAATATTTCCTTCTCTGGGGGGCTGACTTCCCTCTGTCATAAATGAAACAGTAGAGGGACTTGTATCTCTCTCACACACATTCTCATTCTCCCCCCCCCCTTTTCTCATCCCTTCCTGTAAGGGAATGGCAGAGATACTATGAGCTGCAATAGTTTTTCATCCAGCATATCTGTAGCTGTTACCAACCCATCCCTAGACCATTCCCAAATCATCTTTTTGTGTCTTTGTAACCATAGTCCTCTGAATGTAGCCAGCCCTGGGAGAGAGAGGTTTCTGTCACTGGATTTATCCCTCTTAACTTAGAGGTCTTTCTCCAACCAAAATATATGGTCCTTGGGACATCATTCTGGAGATGCAGGACTACAGTGCCAGGTTCAAACATCTTTTATTTTTATTGCAGCTTCACTCTGCTTCCCTTAAGTCTCTCACAGTGCTCAGATTACATTAAGCTGATTAAATAATCAGTGAAAATAATAGAAGAGCAGAGCTGAACTAGACCTTGGAGGTCTTCTAGTTCAACCCCCTGCTCAGGCAGGAAACCCTATACCATTTCAGACAAATGGTTGTCCAGTCTCTTCTTAAAAACCTCCAGTGTTGGAGAACCCATAACTTCTGGAGGCAAGTTGTTCTACTGGTTAATTGTTCTAACTGTCAGGAAGTTTCTCCTTAGTTCTAGGTTGCTTCTCGCCTTGATTAGTTTCCACCCGTTGCTTCTTGTCCTACCTTCAGGCGCTTTGGAAAATAGCTTGACTCCCTCTTCTTTATGGCAGCCCCTTAGATATTGGAACACTGCTATCATGTCACCCCTAGTCCTTCTCTTCATTAAACCAGACATATCAATTCCTGAAACCGTTCTTGTTTTAGCTTCCTGACCCCTAATCATCTCTGTTGCTCTTCTCCACACTCTTTCCAGACTCTCAACATCTAGAGTCTGAACATCAACATATCAAAAGGATATATTTAATTCTCTTTTAATGAAAGATAAGTTTTAACGTGAATAACTCCACCTTCTCTTTTTAACAAATATCTCAAGGGCTGGAAGGAAGAGCCAAGTATTCAACCCCTTCTTAAAACTTATAGTGGGGGACTGATTAGATCTCCAAGGGGTAAAGAGATGGGCGGCCATCCCAAAGGCCCGCTTTGGGACCCAAACCCTTCTGAGGCCACCATGACTCCTCTTCCTGGTGAAACTCCTGAGTAGATTGAATTTGGTAGAACCTGGGGTCCAAGGCATATAAGACATAAATAGGATTATGAATTTAAGCATAGCAAAAGGTTTCTTCCTTTTGTCCAAACTATTGCAAAACCAGAAATAGGATAAGCTTTAACCGAGGGAAGAATGGAAGATCAGAGGCAAAATGCAGGTTCTGTTTTATGGACTCAGGAAGCTGATTTTGCCTGCTGTAAGTCTTGACTCAGAAATAAGCCCATGAAATATGGCTGCTGACAGATCTATCAAGTGAGATCTGCATGTCCACAAGATATACAAGCTAGAACATAGGAGCTAAAGATAGATAATGGGGATAGGGTTTTTTCAAAGTTCACTGGATGAAATATTGATGTGATCCAACACGTTTTCTCTCTCCTTTATCATCTGCTTTTTATGAATTGTGATACAAAATTTCCCCTGAACAAAGGCTTATCTATAAGTAGATATCTTTAGTAGATATCGGCCTTCTACAACTTGATTTTCTCCAGATGTAATTAAACAGTAATTCCCAGTCAGAATTATGAGAAGGCTAAATTATATGGGAAGGGTAAATTATACGACCTTTTTGTTCGCTCTAACAACTTTCTCCTATTTAAAAATGAGTTATATGCAAGAGCACAATGAAAAAGTAGAAGCATACATGTGAATGAGGCCACATTCAGATTTTTAAAATTTAATGTCGATTGCCTCCATGTGAAACAGAAGGTGAATGCACAAAAAGCTAGTGCTAAATAATGCCCGAAGTGATAAGTATTGCAGAAATATTAACCATCATGTTTGTCTGTAGCATTGTGAGCTAGTTCTAAATGCAGTAGAAACTTCTCCCTTTGGACTCTGGACAGCCACTTCAGGCAATGCTCCCCAGTATCTGCAAATTTAGTCCAGGCAGCCTGGGCTGCAAGCCAACAATAACAGCGCAGAGATTAATGAGTCAATGTCACCCACTTTGCATTCCTAAACAGTGAGCAGAAAATTCCTGCGGTAGCTTGCAGACTTAACTCTGATTCCAACAGCATGATCTTCTATGTACTCTCTCATCCTGGGAATGCACTAGAGACTTTTAATAATACCAGTCAGAATTTAAAGGGCAACAAGTATGCTTGGAAAATATTAGCTATGGTGCATAAAAAGGAATACACACACACAAGGGATGAGTAGGAAAAGGTGTCCTTTTGGCACTCCGTACTGGAAACAACTGGAAGCAACTGTTGGAGAAAACCAACTCTTCAGACAGACAGGAGCATAAAAAAGAGCAGGTGTTTCATTATGAGAATCAATAAGACAGAGTACCTGCATCTATTGTTGCTTTATGGAAGAATTGAGCAAAATATGTGAACATCTTTCAGTGAGTCACAACAGCAACAAGGGAGAAAAAAATCAGAGCTGTTATCTATGTAGACTTAAGACTGCTACATCTATTGAATTTCTCTTTATGCTGCCCATGTGTGTTCCTGTCAAGTTCTTTCTTCTCCATTGTGGGAGAATGTAGGTTTGTTTTACCCTTTAAATAGTTACCAAATGAGGCAAAAAGGAAGCTGCAGCCAAAAACCTGCAGAACAAGACTAATCCTGCTGCTTTTAAGCTACCTCATGGCCAGAATAAATTAAAAACTTTTTTCATTTAGTGCTACATTTGGAAGAAGGATATTGTTGGCCTTCTTAGGTTCTATCTTCTGATTGTGGGCCCTTAGAGGTTTTTGGAGTTGAGCTCCATCGTCCCCAGTTACTGGTGACATTCTACTTTTGAGAAAAAGTGATAGCTAGAAATAGGGTTATTAAATAATCCATGTAGGCATTTCCAATGTAATTCCTGATATCATAATAAAAATGTATTGAAAGAGCCCACAAAAGGCTCAACTGAATCCAGTCAGATTCTAGAACCAGATTAGGAAACCTAATGTTTTGGATTACCAAACCAAGTCCCCTTGCTAATGGCCCTACTGGCTGGGAGAAATGGAAGCTGAAATCCCATACAAGTCGAGGGAATTAGAATTGTCTATCTCAGAAAAAGTGCAAAGATGCTTTCTGTGAAGACCTCAAAGTGGCAGGAAACACGCTTCAGTCTCTCCTGTCTCCATTTTAAAAAGGATTTCAGAGAGGGAAGAACTGGAGAAGCTCTCTAGCTGAGACCCTGAAAAGTCTCTGCTGGTCCAGGTATACCGAGCTAGATGGGCAAACATAAGATTCCAACATATGTCAAATAACAACCAAGTATTTTGCTGCTGGTGATGTACTTGAGCCCAGGAGAGAAAAGAATTTTTTTTTGCCTGCATGCATTACAGGACTGCAGTCTTGCTTTCTGTTTCATTCTGGAGTTTTGTCCAAGCGATCCAGCACACAGAATGGTCCGACAGGCGCCAGCATCAGTTCCACCGAAAGAGGTCCTTCCCTTTCATTGCTGCTTTTTTGTTTTGATTATTATTATTTTTTATATTTAAAAAAGACACTCAAACACTTCTAAAAAAACCCCCACATCTTTTCTCAAAATTTTGGTTGTCTAGCTTTGTGCCATAGAAGGAGGAGGAGGAGGAGGAGGAGGAGGAGGAGGAGGAGGAGGAGGAGNAGAAGAAGAAGAAGAAGAAGAAGAAGAAGAAGAAGAAGAAGAAGAAGAAGAAGAAGAAGAAGAAGAAGAAGAAGAAGAAGAAGAAGAAGAAGAAGAAGAAGAAGAAGAAGAAGAAGAAGAAGAAGAAGAAGAAGAAGAAGAAGAAGAAAGACGCTTCCTTTGTTCACCACCCTGAGCAGCAGTCAGATCCACAGGCGCACGAGGAAGAAAGATCCCTCGGTGTCCCTTGACTCCTTTGTGACACTTCAGAGGGAGGCAGCTTTGTGAAACAGCAGAAAAAGAAGCCGGAGCCCCTCATTCGGTAGTGAAGGAAAAAAGCACCATGACAACGATGCCGGCGCAGAGGCAGAAGACTTGTTGCACCGAGTTCCTAGGCAAGGAAAGGAGAAGAAAAAGACAGTCGTGAAATTTACGCCAGGCTCACCCTCTTATTTTTTTTTTAATCTTTCCTGGACCTTCAAGGCAATTACCATAGAATCATTGTATAGAGAAATACAAATAAAAGCTTTTATTTTTTTTAAAAAATAATGATAGTTAATGCTTGTATTTATACAACATGCTTAACTGCGTTAGGTAAAGATCAAACAGGTGCCTTGAAAAGCCACGCCAAGCTTTGGGGTTTTTGGGGGAGGAGATTGGACTTTCCGTGTTGAATTAAACCCAGCCTTTTACTAAGAGCTTATGATTTAATGTATGTCACTAAGGGTTTACGATTCAAGGTTTATGGGAGGCTCGAAAATAGTTTAACTCAGTAACCAAGTTAAATGTGCTGTATGAATGCATTTGAAGTGTCAGACGTGGAGAGGGAAAACTGAGGTTCAAGTCTTCATTTGAACATGGAAGTCCCTGGGTAACTGTAGACTAGTCACACAGCGATGTCGAGTGTGGACTTCTGGGAGCTGAAAAACTAAGATTGAGAAGCACTGCTTTTCTCTCTCTCTCTTTTTGTCTCTCTCTCTCTCTCCCCCACCATCCCTTTACAAGTTGTTGTGGGTACAAAACAGGGAAGAGCTTCCAAAGAAAAGGCGGGTTACAAATCAACTGCAATGCACCAGGGATTATTAGCCGCCGAGGCCCTATGAAAGAAACTTACAACATGGCATCATAGTTTGAATTCCTTTTGCACTTTTCAAAATAAAAGTTTTGACTTGTGCTCTGATGCCACAGAACCCAGTCTTCTGAATTTCCCGAAGAAATCTGAAATGTCTGAAAAAGACGGTTTTCCAGGCAGATTTTTTTTCTTCTGTTTATGATCGGTCATTTTTTTTTCCCTTCAGGAAAGCCCCTACTACTGCAAAGTCCCATTCCCAACACCTGGTAAAGCTCATTAAGAAAAGTGGAAGTGTGGAAAAGTGCTGCAGGCTCAGGCAGTTTGCAGAATGAAATGCTGGGCCCCGGCACCAAACATCTGGCTGAGCTACTTGCAAGTAGTCCTCAAAGAAAGACCACAACTGAGCCCAACATTTCTGCTGCCACGTGAGACAGTTGTTAAATGGGCTTTGCCCCGTTTTATGACCTTTCTTGCCATAGTTGTGAAGTGAACCACTGCAGTTGTTAAGTTAGTAACATGGTTGTAAAATGAACCTGGCTTCGCCCCGTTGACTTTGCTTGTCAGAAAGGTTGTACAAGGCGATCACGTGACTCTGGTATTTTGCGCCCGTCATAAATATAAGTCAGTTGCCAAGCATCCAAAACTTGATCACATGACTATGGGGATGCTGCAACGGTCATATGTGTGAAAAACAGTCATAAGTTGCTTTTTTCGGTGCTGTTGTAACTCTGAGCCATCACTAAACGAACCGTTGTAAGTCAAGGGCTAGCTGTAATAGGCAACCACTGACATTCCTCTGGGCTGGCTGTTTTAATTACACTGCTGCTCACAACCCTGCCTTTGGGGTCAAATTCTCTTTCCAAATTCTCCTCAGGACCAGCTCCACGTGGGTAGCAATCCCCAGCAGCGAAGGCAAAGGAACTTCATAGAGCTCCGTCCTCATTAAAAAGTTATGTCATAAAAGCTTTTCTAGTCTTCGGGGTTTCAAATGACTCTCTTTTGTTATGGCTATTCAAGCTTGTCTTCATTAAAAAAAAAATCATTACAGCAACTCTTACCACAGATTCTTCTCTTCCAAGAGATCCGGCACCACGTTGACCAATGCAATGTACAGGAATCCTCCAGAGGTGAAAGGGAGAATCCAAGCGATGGTTTCCCCTGAAGAGAGGATGAACAGCACGTTACTATCCAAGGGATGCCCATATTTTATATTCTATGCCAGGGGTCCTCAAACTTGGCCACTTTAAGACTTGTGGACTTCAACTCCCAGAATTCCCCAGCCAGCCATGCTGGCTGGGGAATTCTGGGAGTTGAAGTCCACAAGTCTTAAAGTGGCCAAGTTTGAGGACCCCTGTTCTATGCGAACACATTTAGAGCCAAAGGCAATGGAGCTTCTGAGCCATCTGAGGTGCGTTCCAAGAATCTTACCTGTCCCTTTTGGTGACTGAGTACAGATGGCAAAGCAAGCGCCCAGGATGCCTCCAAGAGCTGTAGAAAGTTGTAGCTTGGCTGCACTCCAGCGATCAAATCCAGCCCGGAGGAGAATGACAAAATCCCCCACCTACAGATAGGGAAAATAGACTGTAGCATTCAGGAATAAGGCACCCAGTATGAAAATGGTACGGTGGGCTGTGATATGTTACTTAAGGTGGCTGTTCCAGGGAGGGTGGGGTGACTTTGCTTAAAACCGGGCTCTGGAGGGGGCTAATCAACTGGGGCTTAGCAATTTGCTTGTTTGTTATTTTTATTAAATAAGCAGGAAAACAACAGGAAAAGAAAAAGAATATACAGATAGTCCTCGACTTACAACCATTTGTTTAGCAACCGTTTGAAGTTACAATGGCACTTGTAAAAGTGACTTGCAACCGGTCCTCACACTTATGACCATTGCAGCATCCCTAGGTGTCAAGGTATTGATTTAAAAGCTAACCAGCTTATGTAATGTAAGATGTAATGATGGGGATGACTCAGCAGGGTCGGTGTCTCTTTAAGAGCCTTTGTATAAAGGGAAGGTTCTGCTGATGTGCTCTCCTCTCTTCCATTTCCTGCTGTAATTGTGGTTTGTTGGATCTTGCTGTATTACGTGTATGTATATTGTTCTTGGTGTATAATATTGTAGATGGTGTTAGATAAACCACCATTTAATATAGACCACCATTTACTGTGTTTACTTCTGGGTTATCTCGCACAATAAGACTGTGCACGCTCTGACACTAGGGTCAAATGATCAGAATTCGGGGGCTTGGCAACTGGCGTGTGTTTATGATGGTTCCAGCCTCTCTAGGGTCACATGATCACCATTTGCGACCTTCCCAGCTGGCTTCCGACAAGCAAAATCAATGGGAGGAAGCCATATTCACTTAATGACTGCATGATGCACTTAATGACTGCGGTGAATCATTTAACAACCCTTGGCAAAATCGTCATAAAATTGGGCGCCGCTCTCTTAACCTTCTTGCTTAGGAATGGAAAGTTTGGTTCCAATTGTGGTCATAAGTCAAGGATTACCTGTACATTAAAAAAAAAAAAGTACATAACATAGTAATCCTTAATTCATCTATGCTGTTATTTGTCTTTTTTTTTGCTGTTGTTGCGGTTGCTGTTAATATTATTATTACTGTGCATTAAGCTTTGCGCTAAGGGTGCCCTCATAGTTAAGTAGCACTTAGGAGACAGGGAAAAGAAGGAGAGAGAAAAAAATAAGAGAGGGACTACTGGAATGCTTTTTTTCCTATAATGTCAATAATATTGATATTATGCAAAAGATTATTATGCTGATTATGAATTTTCCCTTCCCCTCCAATTTATGGGCTGAATTTTTCCACCAACCATATCTCAGCTTAGGATTTACTGTGATAAGATAGGCTTGAAACATTTTAACAAATACGTACAATTGAAGAAATTCCAAGATTCAGAGCTGGGGGTAATTAATGACAAAGCCTAAGCTAAGATACAGTGCACTGCTTTTGTCCAACACAGAGTCCTGGAAATGCACTGAAACATCTAGATGTGGTTTAGCCCAGGGGTAGGCAACCTCGGCTCTTTTATGACTCGTGGACTTCAACTCCCAGAATTCCTGAGTCAGCATAGCTGACTCAGGAATTCTGGGAGTTGAAGTCCACGAGTCATAAAAGAGCCGAGGTTGCCTACCCCTGGTTTAGCCTAATATGTCTGGAGAGCACCAGATTGGGAATATGGTTTTTTTGCCTTATAGAAGAAGACAGCTCTTTTGCTTGCTTCATAAGAAGGGATGCTAAGCCATATCTACCATCTACTAACTATACCCTCATTTTGGCAGTGAGGAAACAAAAAGATCAAGATGTGTTCCCATCCACTGATGGCCTTTCCCCTCTCTTCCAATATTAATGTTCACACTGTATTACCAACAGAAGAAAAGGTTTGTCTGCTCGTGGCTTACATCAGTCTGCACAGCTCTGTGTGTTACTGACACAATGTGTATCTACCCAGGATTTCTGCTCAACACGAGCTCAGCTTCCCAGCACACATATTCCAGATGCACTCACCTCGTGGGGTATCTCGTGTAGAAGAATTGCCAGGGTTGTAAGGAGCCCAACCTAAAAATCAAGGAGACAAAACTAGTTACGAGAGATTTTTATAGCTCAATAGGGTAGCACTAGCAGCAATACATGGTTCTCCCTGGACCTTCTCTGGGTAATAAAGAAACAGCTCTTTTATATCCAACAGTGATCTATGCAGCTTTAGCATTTAGAGTACTTATAGGAAACACCCAAGTGGAATTTGGAGGCTTTGTTGTAAATATTGAAGAGGAACATGGAAAAAAGATGAAATTGTTTCCTAAATATTATACACATCTTCTAATGGAGTATGAATAGACAATCTGTGGCCCATAACCTCATGAGGTCCTCAACCTTAAACAACAAAGCCTGAAGATTCCTTCTTCCTGGCCAACTGATCCTTTTAATCATCTACATAGCTAGCTGGCACAAATCACTATCTTTCTGTTGCCATAATCAACAGGAAACTAAACAATCCAAACTTTGCCAGTCATGTGACTATTTGATCAGTTGATTGATGGAATCAAATCAAGGATTTCCTGCTGCTGACAATGCCATGGATCAAGTTATTTGTTTACAGAGAAAGGAGTATGATGGAGAGGAATGAGCTTAAGTGAATACTGTGCGTGTTTGTTGGGTTGCATTAAGTGTATGTGTTACAATGAGCTTTCATGTATGTGATGCCCCCGTTCCCTTAGGTTGGCCATCACATCCTTTCAGGTTTATATATCGTGAGCCACCCAGATTTTGTCTCAAGCTGGATGGCACTGAAATCAAATGAATCATCATCACCCTATGTAATCTTGGGGGCAAAAGTTGTATTTATTTATATATGATTAAAACAGCATCCTGCTTTTCTGTCCACATAACAGTTAAGGCAGCTCACAAAATTAAAATATATATACTATAAAATGAATGAACAAAAAAAGCAATTAATCTAGCAAGCAAGTGACAAATAGTGCTGATCTTTTAAGAAAGATACCATATGAGTCCTACATTTTGCAGCCAGATAGCAGTCTAGTTGCCACCCTTTACATTCAGTACCATTCTTGGACACTTCACAAGAGCAGACAGAGCTCTATGATCTTCTACTACATGTTCAATGTAATTTGTCCTAAGAGTTCTTCCAGTTGCATTTGAAACCTCCTCCGTTGTACTTCATTGGGAAGAAGGCAGATCCTCTGGGCCATCTCCTTATTTCGCAGATCTGCCAAGGCTTTAACTCTGTTGCCAAAATGAAGGCAAGAAATTCCCCAAGCATATTTAGCAAACCCCTGGATCTATTAAGTGCTTGGGCTGGACTATTTTAACTCTACAATGGTTTACAGCAACCATTAATCTAAACTGACCAGACAGTAATCTGTCCAGGAGAATGGAATTAAAACAGTTCCTCCATTTTGGGACCATGGGAACCAATCAAATGCCACACTTGCTATATGTCCTATATAAGTGCAGCCAGAACAAACTGGGCTAGATCGATGGTCATGGTGACCTGCAACCCTAAGCCTTCCTACTTCACAACTTCAATATGAACACTTAAAGTCTTTCAAAACAAGAAGTGTAGAATAGTTGCCTGCCAGATATCATCCTGATTAGCTTATAAAGAGATACTGTTGTGCAACAAGGTGGACAGTGCACCACAGTATCCCTGCACCGCCCAAGCCACAACCTAAAGGTAGCAATAGATATTCAATATAAACAGACTGGATGCTGGATAGAGATGGAATTCTTAGTATGTTCGTGTTAAAAGTAAAGGAAGCAACATATTTGGGAATAGGGCACATGTCTTTTAAAAACATCTTCGTGTTGCTAAAGGAGAGCTGGTGTCCTAAAGAAGTGAACTTACCTTTCTGCTGACCAGGAAGCTGGCTGCCACCGCCAAGCCATGTGTGAAATTATCTATTGTATTGGCCAAGAGATTGAGATATCCACTCATCTGCCCAGGGCAAAAGGGGAGGGGTGAAGAAGAACAAAAAGAAAAGAATTCAGAAGCTTCAGGATTAACCAACATAGAAAGCAGAAAACATTTATTTCATTCCTAGTTTTTGCTTACATGTACCTTAGCTTTTGCATAAATGTTCTTTTGCATAACGTTGCTTGCCACAGATGAGCACAGCTTAATGGCACTCCCATGTATGTATGTACAGGTAGTCCTCAATTTACGACCACAATTGAGCCCGAAATATCTCTTTGCTAAGTGAGTCATTTGTTAAGTGAGTTTTGCCCCATTTTATGACCTTTCTGGCCTCATTGTTGCTAAGTGAATCACTGCAGTTTTTAAGTTAGTAACACAGTTGTTAGGTGAATCTGGCTTCCCCATTGACTTTGCTTGTCAGAAGGTCGCAAAAGGAGATCACATGATCTCGGAACACTGCAACCGTCATAAATACGAACAAGATGGGGGTGCTGCAACAGTCGCAAGGGACGTTGTAACTTTGAACGGTTACTGAATGAACTGTTGTGACTTCTTGTATAGTTGTGCAGAAAGGCACATCTAGTCGAACTGTATGTTTCAATGAATCCTTATGTTGACAGAGCCTGACACAACAGCTTCATGATATAAAGCTAAACACAATATATTTCTATACATTTGAATATAGACTTAGTATTTATGAGCCATTGACAACAATGAACATGACAAGTGCAGATGAATAAACTATAGTTGATTCAGGGTTACTTTTTTTTCTAACTGTAACATTCTTAAGGCAAAAAAAAGGTGATCAATCCCTTCAGCCTACAAGGAAATAAAATCAATACCACAGATAAACAATACTCTGATCCTTCTAACCTCTCAAGTTGTGATTGTTGTCGTCTCTACTTCCAACAACCACTGGGTTTCTCCAAGCAGCTGTCTGAACATTTGAAAATGAAGCTAATTCACTGTTACAAAGAGGGAGAAAGGTATAAAAATATTGAACCAATTTTAACTAGGAGAGACAAGAGTTAAGAAATGGATATTCTGAAAAACAGAAGCCATATATCAACGCAAACAACCTGCTTAAAAGTTCAGCTAAAACTGGAATAGTTATCAAGAGGTTCACAGCATTGCTTACGCAACGATGATCTGCTTGGAAGATTTGTCAGTAGGAAAGTTTTCTTTCAACTTTGTCATTAAAGTCAGGTAGAAGAAAACCTTAATCCAGAAACATTTGGAACAAAGCGCTTTTTACTGATGAAATAAAAAGTGAATTGTTCAGTCATAACCACGTAAGATAGCTCAGAGAAACATCTGAAGAAAAAAAAAGTTTCTTGGCCAACAATTATGTTCTGGGCTTACGTGGCAGAGAGTGGCACAAGAAATATTGTCCCAATGGCACGGTTCCATCTAAACCTCACTGGGTCCTAAAATTAACAACTCATTGTCAGTGAAGAAACTAAAGCTAAACAGAAGTTGGATACTTCAACATGATCTGAAATACACGTCCCAATCAACCATGAGTTATTTACAGGAAAAAATGATAAAGCTTTTAGTAATTTAGTAATAGCCTTCACTTTACCCAGACTTGAATATTATGGAAAACCTGTGAGGAGATTGTGGAATATCAGTTTTAGTGGCCTAGGATAGCTGCAGTACTGCTCATGGGAGCCAGCCTTTGCAGTGAGTAAAAGGGGAAAAGGTAGCTCAGTTTTGGCCTTGAATGGCAGCCAGACTATCATGATGGCTAATGTGCAGACTTGGCTGCTAGCTGGTCTGTTGGGGTGAAATGTTGAGACAGCAGTCCCATAGGTGTTGGGGATTAGAGACGGGGCAGGGGGGGGGAAGAGACCCTCCTCCTCAGTTGTTGAGGGGAATGCTGCTGATTTGGCTAAAAATTGGAAATGGAGAGAGGAAAGGAGAGAAGGAGAGAGAGGGAAAATCTGTCCACAGAGTGAATATAGCGGCTGGAGAGCAAAGTTGGAGAAAGAAGTTAAATGCCTGAGGCAGTTGTCGGTTTCTGACTAAGAAGGGAGAATGTCCAGGTGTGGCTTTCCTGGAGGAAGAGAAATGAAGGGCCAGAGGGACTAAAGCTTTACCCAAGACCCTAGAATAAGAAGGACTGGCTGCAGGCAGTGGAGGAGTGGATCAGCTGTCATGGAAAAGCCATAGCAAAACATTAAAGCCCATTTCTCTTTTTCTCCTCTCTCTCTCTCTCTCTCTCTCTCTCTCTCTCTC